AAAAAAAAAAAAGTAATGACTAAAGCTGGTGTGGTATAAAGAAAATTAAATATTTATTGATAAGATTAGTGGTTAGAAATATGTAAGTGAATGAATAGTCTTCTTTGTTGTAAAATATATAATAATTACATTTTTTAAGTTGAATTGTAGCGGAAAAAGTGAAATGAAATGAATAGTGTTTTTATGATTTTTTATTTTTGTTCCATTTTCAGTTTCAGTGAGATAAATTTTAATTTAACAGATGTATCATCTCACCACCTTAGGTTTTGATTTATTATAGTTATGCTACCTCAGTAAAACACATGCTACACGTGCGATTCTAGAAAAATTTCTTATATGTCTATATTTTAGTATAGAGGTATGCAGTCTACCTAGAAACTTAGACTTGCTGCTTGCAACAGATAGCATACGTGAATCATAAACTAGAGAGCATTGTCTCACAACTGCAAGCAAAGCGGCAATTGATCTCAAGGTTCACTCTGTGGAGAAGAGATAATTTGCTATGAACAAAAGACATGGACTATCAATAAAGCATGCACCATATCTTTGAAAACACTTAACCTCATGAAAAATCAAAGATAAATATCACCAGAAATCCCAAGTTATATTCCAATTAATACTCTTCTGAAAAAAGGTGGCGAAACAACATTAGTCTTCACCGCCTCGGAACACTATTGTATTACCTGATTTATATTTTACCGCATTTACCATCAACATTAGCAAGCATGCATTAGCTGAGAAGCAGAAGTTTCCAATTACCTTTCATTAAGCTGCTTAGGGCAGGAATCATCTATGTTGTACGGGATTCTGATTGGGTATGTGGCAAGAAAATTGGTTCCAAAGGAGGCGAAGCAATGACTTCTTCCATCTTTAAGTTCTGAGAACCTTGTAATGGAACACGTAATGCCACATCTATCGGGCCTCCAGCTGGAATTGAATAGCTGCGTGATAATGCCAATGGTGGAACTGGGAGTGCAGATGCTGATATGGACGTCTTTGATATACTTGCAGTTGACAGCTCGAGAGATTTGGACATTAAGGGTCCCGAATGAGCACCACGATTAGTAGGTCTTCTAACCGCTACATGAGCAGGGGGGCGGGGAAGCTCGTGAAGTTCATTAATTTTTGGCGATGACACAAAATTCCGTGAAGACAACTTAGGAGTTGATGTGGGTCGGGGTATTGGTGTGCGTAATAGAGAACCCGAATATGGCAGAGAGAATGCTGATGAAGCAATTGGTCCACTGGCTGTGGAATTTGGGTTGTTCGGCCATGGTTTTCCTGTCAAAGGACCGGAGAAAGCTTGCCTTTTGGCTTTCTTAGCATAGGATACAACATTTGGATCAAGTTGTTTGAATGAAAGAGTTTCTGACAAAGGAGGGGGCAAGCGGCTGGGTTTTGGGGGGTTGTTGCTCTCTTTCAGTATTGATTGTGTGTCTAAGATGATTGGTTTATCATTTGCCCCAAGTTTTTCATACTTGTTCTGATCCAAGGGAGAGGAATGACTAAGGTCTAAGGCTGTTTTTCTTACTTGACAAGATTCGTTAAATAATTTCCCAGAAACAGGACTCCTTGTCTCGTCTGGTGTTGGTAACACGTAAGAAGTATACTTGCGTGATGGTGAAGGCCCAAACTGAGCCACTCGCTCAGCTGAATCCAGTTTCTTCTCAGGAAAGAGGGGTGCGGATTTGCTAATGGCTCCAACTCCTCTTTGAAAAGAAAAAGAACTTCTGACAGGACTTCGTAAAATATCCTGCAAATATGGACAGAAGTATACCATCTTCAGTTGAATTGCAATTTGCAACAACGGATTGTAACAGGTCAATCCAATAGCGGAGCTGAGGAATGATAATACTAGAAGAGGCCTGCTGGTGATCATAAGGATAGTAACTAGACAATCACATATCACTTAATCTATCAATTCCAATATGTAAAATTTTGCATCTTTTGGCCAATGGAACTTGTTTTACGAGAATAATATCAGTTAAATCTAAGATTCACAATTTCTGAAGCCTCAACGCTTCCACTCTACTAGATCGACAGCTTGTAATTAATAGATAAGCCTCAAGTCCATGAATTGTTCAATGCTAACTAGTCAAGTTAATTATTTGATCAGCATAACTGTTGAATAAGTAGTTAAATCATAAACTCATTTACACAAATGCACAGACTTAATATGGACTAAAATCTGCCACTGAATGTACCTTTCTGGAAGTCCCAATCATTAAGAGTTCAAAGATTACATTCATTTCCATTAATATCTAATTATTTCATGAACTTCTTCCTAAAAGGATTTTGGATAAGACTCAAGTAGAGAGAGGAAACACAAAAATACATAATAACGAAAAGTTAGCGAATCAAATATTCAAATGTAAAATTAGATTACAAAGCAGAAGAGGTAAAATGTTTTAATGAGGTACTATTTTACATGGTCAAAGAGTGGGAATTAGAAGTAGCGAGTAGCAATACCACAGGAAATGGCACTGTACCTTTGTGGCACCTAATTTAGGGTTGGCAGAGATTGTCGTATTAGGAGTATCCAACTGCAAAAAGTAGAATGTTGTTAAAGGAACCATGCATGCATATATTTGCTCCATTTTGAAGAGTACTGCAAAAACTATATGTGGGTGATGTTTGGTGATAAGCACAGAAACAAAATAACAACTATTAGATACTAAGTTTTTTAACATTGTTAAATCGTGGGTTTTAATCGTGTATAACTTTAGATTACAAACATTCTACCACTAAGCTAACTCTTGGGACTGAGTCCTATTAGAGCCTGTTATCAAGAATAACCTACTCGTCAAGTTAGGATGGCTAGTCCATTTCAAAAAGACGCTAAATGAACATCTATATCAATAGATTGTTCAAGCTTCAAAACTATTATGCTTATTAGGATCTCAAATGTTACACAAGAGGCAGCTTAATTTATTGTCTGTGAATGATAGATAAAGATGCGAGTATGAAGAACATTAACTTAATAATTTAATTGTTTGGCTAATTAAAATGTTGCTGTCCATCAAAATTTAAGCTCCGAGGAATGAGAACAATTTCCCTCATGCTCCAGTTAGTGCTTATAATCAAGACTTCTGCTGCTTGCGCAACAGCATTTACCAGTAATTATTTAGAAGTACTTTACTTGGGCCAACATCAGGTTAAGAAGTTAAATGTACCTCCATGGAGTTTTTTAATGTAGCAACCTCTTGTATGGAAACATTATGCTCATAATCAGAACTCAATTCTCCATCATCATGTGTATCAGAACTATCTTCACTACCACCCTCTCCATCACTTTCACCACCATCACTATAAATTCCATGTCCATCATCTTTGAGTCCGCTAAACTGGTAATCAATATGATGTTGTTCAGCAAGCAATCTGACATGTGGCTCAACTGCCTCCAAAGATCTGACTGCATTCTTGAAGAAGAATAGCTGCAGTAAAACTCAAACTGTTCATGTAAAAAATGATACACAAAGAAACTGCATGCCACGCATTTGGTGTTTTCAGGAATGGAAACAACCTGTGCAGCATGATGCCGAGATGCCTGTGTAAGAAAACTACGGGATTGTCCTTGTTTTAGAGACTTCATGCGGAAAACAAATACATTTGCCTCATCATCATAATCCTCATAGGCTTCCTTCAACTGAGGCGAATGGAAACATTCACCTTTACTGTTCCTTAACATCCCCTTCTCTTTCTGTTTCTTCAGCAGATCATCATATATCTCTCTGCAAATTATTAGATCAGAGTAAAACGCATTTAGTAGAATGGTAAGTGATGCCAGAAATGATTAACAAAGCACCATTAAGCCGGGAACAGAAAACTAAGAAAAGGCTCCCGTTTGGACCTTTTTCCATCACAGCGCTTCTTCATCTCCTGCATAAAACAGTAAGTGACTTAATTGGAGCTCAAACACAAACCACGACAAACTCATTAGTGACCTTCTCTTCATATTTAGTCGAAACAATAAAATCTACTACAATGTAATAAAGAATGGCACAATTAGTACCAGGAAGAGAACAACATATGCAGCCGCCAAAATATAGTCAAGATGTGATACGAAGACAAAAGAAAAAACAGATAACTAAGACCATCTCCAACCGAAATACTCATTCCCAAACCCATTTTGTAGTAACTGTCCAATCAAACATTAATTCTGCTCCAACCGAAAAACTCATTCTCAAACCCAAAATAATATTCTCGGAATATTCTTTTTTCATCAACTTTTACAACTTTTCAATACTACCCAAATATTTTACAATTTTACAAATTAAACCACATTATTATTTTAAATTCGATTAGCAATTTATGTAATAGAATTAATTATAATGTTCAAATATACATAAAAAATTGGATAAATAAATATTCTTTGAAAGTTGAAAATTACAGTGCGAACATACATAGAGACACAAATAAAATACCCATCCGTATATTGGAATAAATTTTTCATTTTTTTAATTCTGATATTTCATTTTAATTTCAAAATTCTATATGATTATAATTATCCTACAAAATAATATTTAACTATTACATTACATATAAATAAAATATAGAGCTAAACATATAGAAATATATAATACACCAATACCACAAAATATATAAAAAGAAATATATATATATATATATATATATATATATTATACAAACCTGTTGTAGTCATTAGAAATAATTAGCACTCAAAAATTAATTATTGACATTGAATTAAATTTTATATCTATAATAGATTAAAAATTAAATATTGGCATAAATATTGTAAAGAAGGAAAGAAATAAATGGTTCCAATCTCACTTATCATTGTCATGGGGTCATAGTGCAATTTGTCAGAAAATTTGTGTCTGTGAACAGGAGAATGCAAATTTGCATTTGTACAAGCCAGAAAATGGGGAAAACGCAATTTGCGTTTGAGTTTGCGTATCAGTTGGAACAAAAATACTGCATTTTTTGAGTTTTGGGTACCGATTGGAGAAGCTCTAATATCAAAGTAACAGTTCTCTCAATCGTAAATTCAGATCTCCCCAGCGACATAAGGAAAAGATCAAGGCTGGCCTTGAAATGACTCAAAATTGTTTGCCCTCTAAAAAGACTAAGCACCAAACCACATCACATTTTCTATTCTCACCTCTACTATACGAAGTTCATTCAGAAGAGACTCTGATGGGATTGTAATAGTCCTGAATATATGAGATCTCTGGAAAACAGAACAAAATACTAAGGGAAAAGAAAAAGCAGTAGACAGAAATCTCATTGATATGTATCAGTAAGCACTCACATAACCATCAACAAGTTTCTGAAGTTCAAACTGTACTTTTCCCAGCATTAATAGAACTTTCCCTGCATAATAAAAGCTTTGAGATAGTGAAAAGTTTAAATTCATTTGAGATGAAACAGAGGTCACAAGGGTAAAGAAATGGATATATTGAAGAGCATATACTAAATCTAAGTACTGACAGCATCACTGGACAAAAAACTGTGTAGTTAAATGTTATGGTATTACCATTACATTTGTGCTTTAATCCTAATAATAAGCTTTATAAAGTTTGAAGCAGCGCTCAAAATAAGATTTACTCAAGTTATCAATCACATATACCCATGCGTAATAGATTTGAAGGTTGAAGCATCATATGTGCTGAACGACACGAACTTCATGCAACAATGCAAATAAATTCATGAAGTTACCTACAGGAGATGCAATGAATAAAGACAATTGATGTTCCTAACATACAAGGCAGTGGGTTCCTACTTATTCTTCATGATATAAATGTGAAAACTGAGAATGCATTTCCTGGATTCAATTCAGAAACATCATATATTTCTATCAAAACTAAGATATATAAATTTCAGAAGGTATCACTTACCACTCTCTTCATCATCATTCAGGGCAGTTTTCTCAAGAAGACAATCACCCATTTCCCTTAGTGATTCAGAGAATTCTGAGACGAATGAGGCTTGATTAGTGGAAACTTCATGAAAATCAATAAATAAACATTAACAAATATAAAGCATTTAAAAAAAAACGAGATTAAAAATATGAAGTTTGCATGATAAAAATTGAAAAGAATATGGGGCATTGTGTGCATCATGAAGACCTTGAAGAAATCAACTGCTATTACACCAGTCCAAGGCATACTTATGTGAAACAGATTAATTGAAAATACGAATCAGAATAAAGGGTTTACAATCAAACTAACTATACATAATGCAGCTTCATGCTCTTTCGATTGCTGAGACAAACAAAACATCTGGGAATTGATAATTAAAAATAGTATGGGAACGGTTTACACTAAAAGAAAATATATTGCATGCCTCAGACTAGAAATCAGATTAAGTAGATTCTTACAGGAACAGATTTAACAGAGATGCAGATCATAAAAGCTGTTATTATGACAACTGATGACAAACATAACTACACACAAGAAGAAAGTCAATTATATAAAAGTTTCGTTTATCACCAACATACCGTATACACTGTTAGCAGTTGCAGCTGCAGCTGAGAGTAACCTATCATAGCAGTCTCTCATGTCGTTCATATCCTGGTCAAGACAAAATGAAATTTGAATCTAAAAATGGAAATGCAGAAAGTGAAATTGTATAGTACCACAAATCGATAAAGAAAAAAAGGAAAAGGAAACAAGAAACTCCGTATACTAATACAAAATAATGTTTTGGCAAGATTAGGATAATGATAAGAAACATGTATTCATCCAGATTCCAGTGACTCTGGAGTAAGGGCCCGTGAGGTTCCATTACTCCCTAACCCCTGTGTCTTACCCAAAACTTGACATAAGGGCCAGAAGGTAACCCACCTGTATAACTACCGTTGACCTTAACACCAAATAGAAGCAAACTTCTCAAAATAGAGTAAGGCATAACAAATAAGGGGAGTGACAGCAGCTCCACATAAGAAATGGAACATAAAAATCCCCCGGCATACCAGTAAAATACTTGGTTGTGCGTCAAAGATAGTTTTACTTGCAGATTAAATGACTGAATAATGTAATGCTTTGAAGAACTCAGGGCCCAAGGGGCAAGCAAAATAAGTGCGGCTTAAAATTTATATGCTTGAGCTTCTTCGATAACAATCGTTCACATACGGTGACAGCACTGAAAAGTTTTTTCAACTGTTTCAAGGTACTGCAGTGCCATTTGTCTAGTCTTCTGAATTTTTCCATAGCAATCCACAGTTAGCAAGGTACTGAGCATCAAGGACAAAAACAGGCCTTATGGTTTTACAGTTGCCATTTCAAATGCTGAACCCATATTTCATCTTCCCTCTATCTCCTCTGAAAAGATGACTCAGTTCGTATAGCATCAACCGCCGCTTTCCATTTTCCATATCCCGATTTTTCTTATTTTGTACCATTTAACTGGTTCTTAAGAACAATAAATGATGAAAAATGTATCAAGTGTCAACAGTCATCCAGTCGTTCAATGACAAAGTATGTATTAATTTAATGTGGTGCATAAATGGAAACCACTGTAAATACAAACTCCAAGAATTGCCATAACGATTGTAGTTCAGTCTGATGAGGTCACTAAAGATACCATAGTAGAAACTAATAGCCCCATCTGATATCAGATGGTTTACCAGTCATTGAAAAGTGTAATAAAAACAAATCGATCGCAATTTACAAATGAGATACTCCCAATCCTGCCAAGAACTTTGTTGAAATCGCCTAAACTATCCAAATTCTGAAGAGAAAAAACGAGATTCTTCTTGTATTGTGTCAACTGAACAACGAAATATACCTGCGTAGCTCGAGCGAGCTCATCTAGAGGCAACGATTGGTGGTGCTTTTGCGCTTTCCTATCATGCTTCGCCGCAGCAAATTTCTGTAATTTCTTCAGCGATGTCTTCATCTTTTCCCCAAACAAAACAAGGTATGAGGGGCACACCAAATGGACAATAGTGTCTACAGATGCATCATCAGAGGTTGATTTTGAAAGGAAAAGCAAAGGTCGCCGGTATGAAATTATTAATAAATGTGCAGAGACAGCAGAGAGAGGAGAGAAGAATGTGGAAACTAAATTTACACGGCGAGATCACCATTTTTCCGTTTCGTCAAATCACAAGGAATTTGGACTTTTTCTTCCTTTGCATGTTCTTTTTCCCTATTTTGTTGAGTGTTTCCTAATTAATATTTATCTTTTTTTTTATATAATAATAATGCATGCTTTTTAAGGAAAAATAAAAGTGGAAAATTTAGGGGGTGATTGTTTACAAAATAATTTACTCACTTTTATTTCAACTCAAAATCTAACTCAACTTTAACCCAACTCCACTACCTTTAATATTATTCATATAATTAAATAATACAAACCAATCATTCTTACACATCACATCAACTTTAATTCACTATTCATCCACTCACATAATTTTAACTACCTATCACTTACAATCATTTCCAATCATTTATCTCTTACTTTTACATCAAATCAATTTTAATTATTTTATTTTAAATATTATTTTAATACATTCTTAAATTTCTACTACAACTAACCATACTACCTTTTTCAAAATTCACTATAGTTAACCAAAATAACTCAATTTCAACAAATTATTTCATAAACAATCAAGCCCTTACAATTTTTTATTTTTTTTGGTAAATTGCGCCAAACCCACATGCGTTATATAAAATAGACGCGTTTCTACACTGTGTTTTAAAAAATGCATGACACCCCTTGTGTTTAAGTAACTGTTGCACGATTCACCCATTCCGTCCAACTTTACGGCGCGTGCACAACACCTTATTTTACAATTTTTTATTTTACATAATTAATAAATTACTTTATACCCTCATGTGCTTTAAAGAACAAACTAAAATTTTCTGCAAAGGAGAGGAATCAAACCTAAGTCTCAATGAGGTGAGAGTGCCCACTAAACCAATGGGTCATGTAGATTCTTGTGTAAGAAAGTACGCAATTACATTTATAATATCAACTCTTAACAAATTAATAAAGTAAAACAAAAATATATTAGGTAATTTTAAAACAAATTAGATAATAATAATAATAATAATAAGAGCTTGCAATACATTAAATTAGAATAAAAATAATTTAAAAAATAAAGTAAGATAGAACTTAATATATAGCATGAATTGAAATTAAATAAATATATATTTCTATTATTAAAGTAAAATTAACGTAAATTTGGAAATGAATAATAATAATAATAATAAATTTCAATTTAAAATAAAGGAAATTAAATTAATATAGTAGGCACATTTAATATATATTAAATAATCGTACTAACAATAATATAATAATAATATGATAATAACTTGAAATAAATTAAATTAATATAAAAATAAAAAATAAATTATAATAAAGTAAGATAAAATTAATTATAGTAGCATGAATTAAAATTAACTAAATTTATAATTTTATTTATTAAAATAAAATTCAATTGTATAAAATTGTACATGTATAATAATAATACTGTTAAAATAAAAAATGAATAAAATTGAAGTAAACTAGTTAAAATAACATAAAATCAATATAATATAAAATAATAAAATATAAAAATGTTAATGTAAAATAAAATAACTTATTATAAAATAGTAAATTAAAATAAATAAAAATATTAATTTACATAATAAAATAAAAATATTATTTATCAAATAAATTTTAGTAAAATTTACTCTTCAATACAATATGAATAAAAAATTAGAAATAAATTATTATTTTTAGTAATTTATTTTAAATAGAAATAAATAATTTAGTTTCAAAATTTTATTAAGTAAAATATATTTTAATTTTATATCATTGTATTAAGTTAAACAAATAAATAAACTTTGTTAACTAAGATATAATAAGATGAAATAAAATAAATTAATACAATATATTGTTATTTCAACAATAATTTTTGTATAAATACATATAAGTTATTTTAATTATTTAATTTTTGTTTAATTTATATAACTTAGTTTATTATATTTTAATTTATTATAATCTTATAGTTTATTAATGTATTTTAATATAATTTACTAATGCAAGTGTGAGCGTCCTGGTCCAGTTTGGGATAGATCGATTCTTGTCCTTGCCGGTAGAACGCCAGAAACCTGCAAATAACTCTCACACCGGGGATTGTGTCCAGTGAAGAGCCTCTGATGCTTAAGTCAGTATGTGTATGAGTATACTGAAGTGAATAATGAAAAAATCGTGTCCAAGGAAGAAAGGCTCACCCCCTTTATATAGGGGTGAGATATCTGCCCTAATAGCTGCCCGGATAAGGTGAGCTAGCTGCCCGTCTATACTCTGACATGCCGCGCACATGTTAGAGGTGGCGCGGGACGTTGGGAGTTGTCAGAAGGTGGTTGTCGCTATCAACCAATGCATTCTCGACATGTGTCCTTCTGCACATGGAGTAAATATTCTCCTGAAATTCGGTTAGAGGCTCTCAACGTGCCTGTGACTAGGCCGATCCATTAGAGTGTTAAGTCCGCGAGGTGATCGACCTGCTGAGGTCGATTAAGTTGCTCGATCGCTCATTTGGTCGAGCGATGGATTGGTTGGCTACTTAACTGGTCGACTGACTGAATGATCGACTTTCCCACCGCTTGGCTCGGCGTCTTCATGGTTCAACCCTCTCGACCGGTTTAACGGACCGGTTTAGCCTTGTGTGTATAATATCCTATATCATCTAGTCCCCCCCTACTCTGGTCGAGTCTGAATGACTCGATCTAAGAGTGTATTTGAGCTCATCAATCTCCTGGACGGCATGATGTCAGACATCGACCATCTGATGAGTTTCCAGCTTACTTTTTCAAATAATTTCCCATTAATTGCCAAAAATAAAGTTGCTTGTCCCAAGTCCTTTCTGTCGTGCCTACTTTTCTGCCACGCGTCGCGTTTGCCGCACTTGTCAGGTACTTTAATGATAGTGCCTCCTCACATAATGCGCCCACTTTGAGTGTCGTGCGAATTAATGCTCTCCACCGTACGATCTGGCTTTAATCTAATGGTCCTCATCTTTCAACCTTTAAACTTTCCAAGGTATAAATTCAACACTTAGCGGATTTTCTAAGTTTTTCCACCTTTGCAATTTCAAACTCCGTGGCGATTCTTCCTGCGCTCTCAAGGCTTCTCTCATTTGCTCACTCACGGTTATGAGTAAGTCCTTCTGTTGTAGCAAATTTTATTTTTATTTTACCGAGTAACAAATCAAATGATTCATTTCCCGGGTCGATCTCTCGGGGAAGACTGTTCGGAAGTTAGAATTAGTATTAATATCACAATAAAGAAAAATAAATCATAAACATTCTAGTCAATTTCATTTAATTTTTATTATCTACTATTTTTACTAGTTTCACTAATAAATGTAAAATTGCAAGTAAAGTTGTAAATAAATTTAAGGGTTAATTGCTAAATAAACCTTAACCTTTTTGCGTTTGGCAATTTTATCCCAAACTTTGGGTAATTGCATTATAATCTCGACCTCAATTTACTTATTACAAGTCGAACTTAAAATCGGTTGGACCTTCAAAAAATTGGTCGATTTGAAGGCGGTTCGAACAGATCGAAGCTCATATTTATCGGTTCACTCCAAATTTAGGAGGATACTCACCACCGGTAGTTTAAATTGTCGTAGAATTTTCGGCTTTGTGCGTGAATATACATTAAATATGTGGATATTGTCAACTTTTTACGTGGATGACATAAAAATCCGTGTCAATGGAAGACTTGGACACAAAATCGATCCACAAATCCGTAAAATCAATCACTCTGCACCAAATTTTGCAATAAGTAAATTGAGGTCGAGATTATATTGCAATTACCCAAAGATTGAGATAAAATTGCCAAACGCAAAAAGATTAAGGTTTATTTAGCAATTAACCCTAAATTTAAAAACAATAAAATGATAAAAGACTTATTACAAGAGAT